ATATCTCTGATCACCTGGTCCGTAGATCTTGAGTGAATTATCCGACCGATACCCAAAGATCGATAAGATTGATAAGGAGGGATATCCTCTTATATGTTTTCCCAAGATGAGGCTCTATCCCTACGAACTGATAAAGGTGTAACCTTTCGGAAATTGTCCGGAAATACAGTAATTTACAAATTAAAATGTTGTGCAACTACAACTGTGATTTAAAAAAAAAAAATACGCGTTTTTCCTTTTCATTAAATTTTTCACTAAAGAAATACACCACACACACACATATTATTTTATTGTTACAATGAGTAGTGTTAAAAGCGATCTTAAAAACTTTTGTATAGATTTTTTAAAGAAAAAACAAAAGTAAGTTTATTCTACAAATTATTTATTTGTCCTTAGTAAAAATTCTAATTATTTTATACAAATGTCAGAGAACAAGAACCACTAGCAATAAATGATAACCAAGAAAATGATGGCCAAACTACAACAAATGAAAATTCTTTATATATAATTAACAATATCAACGCCGACAATAATAATAACTTTAATAATAATCATGAGGATGGTAATATAAATATTAATAGTTCATTTTCGAAAAATGATAGTTCTACAACTAGTACATTTAATTATCAACAATTTAGTATAAAATATCCTCCCAAAAAACCACTACAAGTAATTAATAATTCAAAACAGTCTAATAGTTGCTTCTCGCCAGAAGAATTAAAAATTATAATAGCACAGCAAATCAAGAAACATAACGCTCAATTACAGGCTAAACGCGAAGAAATTGCAAAAGCTAAAAAATTATCTAACGAGGAAGAAGATAACAATGATAATATCAATAACGAGGATATTATGAGTGTTCATGATGATGCTAAAGATGTTCATAGTGATGTTAACGAGGATGATTTTTTTAATGACGCTTATAGTGACATTAATGAGGATAATTTTTCTAATTTTTCTAATGAGGATGATTTTTTTAATGATGTTCATAGTGATGTTGATGAGGATAATTTTTCTAATTTTTCTAATGATGCTCACAGTGATGTTAATGAGGATAATTTTTCTAATGATGTTCATAGTGATGTTAATGAGGATAATTTTTCTAATGATGTTCA